TTATTTAGGAAAGACAAAGGATGTCCCTTTTGGTCCTTAGGTTGCAGACATTTTTGGAAGCTCTTGGTATCAATTGGGCAAAGTTCTGGGCAAAGTGAATTAATTCAAAAGATATTTTGGAGAACCTGCTGATCGCTTCTCCTTCCCTACAGCTGCCGTGGCCTCGGTAACAGGTTGACTGGAAGATGATGGCCATGAGGCGATGTTAGGCTCATGCTGGCCTACTTAAGCCCACGAGGTCACAGGGAAGGCAAGAGCTTCAAATCGGCACTAATTCACAGCAGCCATTCAGGGAACCCCTCCAGGCACAGCCCCTTCCCACCCAGGACATCAAGAACACGCTAGAAAGACCACAGCCTGTCCCATGAGCATGTTTTTTTCCTTGCTACTAGGAATGGATAGTCTTTTAGAGAAAGTGCCAGGAGAAGGGTTTTAAGTTAGTACAATGGATCCAGCCCTGTTTTCTAAACGCTGGAAGAAGAATTGGATCCAAACATAGGAATCAGGAGCTCTCACCCACCGTCTGACCTCTGATACCCTGGTTTCACCTTTTATTACCTGCAGATGCCTCTGCCCACACTCTGTCAGCATCCACTCTGGGGTTTTCTGGCACAGACCTTGTGCTTTCCCAGACATTTCCGTGGCCTGAGTGTGCCCCTCACCCCCAACATGAAAGCCTGGCACCATCTCTCTAGGGCTGGGAGGTGAGGGGGCTGCCCTGTCCTCTCCTTGGCCACTGCGCATCTCATCCATCCTGTCCACTCTTCTTTTTCGCCACTCTGCAGGCAGGACCTGGGGCCCTCGCTTCTGCTCCTGGGGTAGCCCAAGGGCACACAGTAGGTACTCAACAAGAGTGTTCTTACAAGAAGGGTGAGGGAGTCTCTGCTTCTGGAGCCTCTTGGAGATCATTTGAAGCCTGGCTTTTTGGAGAGAAGTCAGGCTGAGCCAAACAGCCTTTTCTGTCCACATTTCTGAGGGAGAAGAAGATGCAGGCAGCCAAGGGGAGTGTGAGCATGCCAGGCAGATAATTATGTGTTCTTGGAAGCAGGTTTAGTGGACTGGCTCCGAGCTGAGCTGGGAACAGACTCTGAGGCCTGCGCCTTCAGACGGGACGTGGCTGGGGCAGGGATTCTGCCGTCCAGTTCTAACAAGTGGCCAACGCCTTATTGAAACTTTTGAAAACCATTCTGTGTGGGACCAGCCAGCTTGTACTTCACTGGGTTGCCCCAGCCACCTTCCCCTTCCATCTGTGAGCACAAGAGGGGAAGCTAAACACCACGCACACATCCCATGTGCCAAGAACCAAGTCAGCAATTTCACTGCCCTAAGAACCCTCCATTGTCCTATAAAAGGGGAGAGGCAGAGGCCCACACAGTCCCTAGTGGCAGGGAAAGGGTGAAGCTGGGCATCAGAGCTACAGCCTGGGCTCTTTCCAGACACAGTGACCTTCTCTTTACAAGGTCATTTTTGCTGTGCGTCTCACTCCAACCCCAAAGCCAAAAATTCCCCCGTTTGAACAGGATAAACATTCCCATGGCAAAGGAACGCTGTGTTCCCCAGAGGAGATGCAATCACGTTGCTCCTGCCGAGGCTGTGCAGGCTTATGAAACGGAACACGGGACCAAGGGCCTGGACCTGGGCCCGGGGTGGACCCCTTCCCTCAGCCCCCAGCTGTGCCCTGCCCAGGAGGGTGGGTAACTCCTCCCTGACTCTGAGCTGTATCCCACAAGACAGTTGGAGAAACAGAGGGGCACAGGGAGAGGAACTGGGTCTAATCTTGACTCCAGGGCAAGCTGCCAGTGTTTCTGGGCCTCTGCTTGGTGTGTCCATCCTGGGGGAGAGAACTGGCTTCAGAAAGTGCTCAGGCTTACATCCATGTAAGAAACAACACCTGCTTTGCTCTCCTGCACCTTGATTTCTCCATTTGTAATTGGGAAGATTGTTTGCATCAAGGAAAGACTCCAAGGTGGAAAAGGAAGTGCCTTTTTAGAGATGACTCTGGCCTCATTTTAGTGCCCTTTGTCTGTGGGCTCCACCCCTGTGCCATCATTCATTCTTTCCTCTGTGCAATCATTCATTCTTTCCATCCCTTATTAAACATATATCGAAGGCTTGTTATATATCAGGCTGGCTCCCCGGCCTTGCAAATACAGAAATCCTCAAAGAGAATAGGCCCTCTCCTTAAAGGGCTCATAATGTATACATACATTTTCCATCAAAAGACATATAAAAATGTTTGCAGTTTCATTATTAGAAAAGGTTATCTAAGCTACCCATTCTCAACTCCCACCTTGTACCAGAGTCCCATCCCTTTAAAAAAAAAAAAATCCTTGATTAGATGACAGACATTGCTTTTATATTTAAACATTTCTGGAATCAAAATGCATCTTACAATTCTGATTGGCAGAATTTTCTTCTTCCTTGGAGATACACAAATTAAAGATACATCTTAAAAATGATAACATCTTAGATTCAATGAAATACATTTGAGGAAAAATGTTATTTTTCAACTGGACTTTTTAGTAGATTTCACAGCCACTGAATTTAACAGAAGATCGTTCCAAAATATTTCTATTTCACCCAGATGTGTGGTATCATGGAAATCATGTGTCTAGATATCTAGTTAGTTGCTCCTCTCTTTATATCTGGATGGCTTGGAAGGAATCCTGCAAAGGAGCCAGGATGCTTTATCACGTCATGGCCACCAGAGGGAGGAAGAGCATTGGAGAGGAACAGGTTGTCAGGTTAGTTAGCTTTTGCTCTCAAACCTTCCCGCATGCTCCCCCCTGAAACTCAGGATACTCACCTCCAGGGTCAGATAGAGGAAAAGACCCCCTTCCAGGCAGGTGGCTGTATCAAAAAGGGGAGTGGGTTGGATCTGAATGATATTGGCAGATCTTCGCTCAAAATCAGCTATTGTTTAAATGAGTTTTTCCTGGGAACGAGGACAGGTGCTAGACATAGCAGAGTTCTGGCTCGAAATTGCAGGGTTGCTGAGTGGCCCTATACCCTACTTAGGCCATTCAAGTCTCATGAGACACACATGATTTGTAAAGCTCTCCAAGGAAATGTTCCCTCTCTAGTATCACCTATAGCTTTCTGTCCTATCTCCCCTCATTTAACTATTTATTTATTGAGCATCTACTATGTGTCAGGCACTGTGCTGGGAGCAGGGGTTACAGCAGCAAACAGAACAGAGAAGGTCACTATCCTCATGCATCTCAAGTGCCAGTAAAGAAGCAGATACTATGCAAATAAATATACAAATAAATCTATCATTGAGCGGTGCAAAGAAAATGCCATAAGAAAAAATTCTGGGTCTTCTGACAGCATGTGACAGGAGAACACAGTCGGGGTGGGTCTGGGAAGGCTTCTCTGACAACTGCTCATTGAGACATAGCCTGAAAGTTGAGAAGGAGTTACCCAGGTAAAGAGCAAGGTAGAGACCTAGGCACATGGATCAGCATTTGATGTGGAAATGTACTTACTTAACACCTTTTAGGCACTAAAATGAGGCCAGTGTGGAGCCCACAAAGGGCAAGAGAAGCACAGGATGGGCTAACACCTAACAGAAACTCAGTGATACAGAGCCTTGCATGTTATGTAAAAGGCACATTTTTCCATCTGTAGCCATTGAAAGGTTTTAAGCAAGGAACAGACATATGTGGATTTAAGTATTAAGACAGCTCTGATTACCCTGAGAAGCATGGCTTGGAGGAGAAATCTGAGAAGTGGGGAGTCCAATTGGGATTTACCAGAAAAGTGGCAAGGGGTGATGACAGTTAAATAGTAACATTGGACATGAAGGTGTATTGAGAGATAGAAATACTGGATTTGGAGATTGGAGGAGCAGGGAATATTGAGTTTGACTCCTGAGATTTCTGAAGGAGTAATTTGGAAAGGAAAGAGGACTTGTCTTTAGATAAGCACCTTTGAGGGGAAAGGACAGGACTAAGGAAGAAAATGTTATGAGTTGTTTCATTGTATTAACTTTAAGCTACTTCTGGAACATCCATAGGCGTAAACTAGACAATTAAGTCAATGAATCCAATGCTCAAAACTGGGCTAGGAATGCTAGATTTTGGAGACCTGGCAAGATCAAACCATGGCAAGAGCTGAATTCAACTGGGAAGGAGCATCACTAAAGAGAACATAATCTAAATCATATTGAAGAGGCTATGTGCAGGTTCAAAGCCAACTCTCGAAGAGACAATAAAGTAAATGAAGACATAACTGAACTGAAGAGGAGCCAGAGAAGAATGGTTAAGATTACTGAATGGGAAGGGGAGAAGTGTAGCACTACCTGGGACACCAGAACAGATTGAGAAACTGAGAGCCTCTGGCACGTGTTGTTCACAAAAGCATGTCATAACATAAACCCTGGCCCTAGTGGTCTCGCATAGAGGGGGAAGGATGCCCAGCCTGGTGCACACAGCTTCAAACAAATTATACCAGAGTTTCTTACTGTTTCTAGGAAAGGAAAAGGGGGAAGTAGATGGAAAGAGCACTGAGGGCAAAGGGGAAGAAGAGATAGATACTGAGGTCAACTCTAAGCAATGTAGGCGCCCTAACAAGTTTCTTTTAGATCGCCACTAGGTTGGAAGAATCAGATCTATGTGTATGTATTAATGGAAAATATATGTACAGATAGTACAATGACCAATATAAAAGTTAGAGAAAAATAGTTCAGAAATCATAAAAAAAAAAAAGAGGAGACACCTATTCTGGGTGTCAGAGAAATCTCAATGGAATGGGCTTTCTTCTGGAAGTGGAAGAATGGGGGGATTTTGACATGGATGGAGAAATGACTCTAGGCTGTTCTGGCAGCACAAACTTCTGGAACAGCAGGTCCCATATGTGTCAGGGAAGACTACATGTTTTCTGAGGCCTCTATTCAGCCTCAGCCAAGTCCATGTGAGCCCAATCCTGACCCATCTGTTCTGTCTCTTTTTTTTTCCCCACCAGTTGCATGATCAATGAGTGGCCGCCCCCTGAAGGAGATGTCTGAAACTCACAGCAGTCCTCTTCTGGCAGAGCCTCTTTCCAGCAGATACAAACTCTATGAGTCAGAGTTAGCCAGCCCTACCTGGCCCTCCAGCCCTCAGGATACACACCCCGCCCTGCCCCTCCTGGAAATGCCTGAAGAAAAGGTGAGAGAAGTTTCTCCTAGGATGTTTTTCAGGTGGGGTTGGGTAGGGTTTGGGGATGGGTAGTGAAAGATGCTATTTTCCCAACTACCCAATGCCTGTATTATATAATGCCACAGAGGAGTCATTGTTAAGGGGATTCTATCCCAAGTCAATACATGGTCACTCCCATGATTAGTCCTACTTGGCCTAAGATGAAAATGTAGCTTGTGTGCAATATGATTTTAAGGACAATAAGTGTACACACTCATACACCAGTCTTCCAACCAGTCTTCAAAATCTTGCCCTTTAGACTTGCCCCTTGAATTACGTATTGTCTCGAAAAAGAAGGCCTTCATTCAAATGCCAGTCTTTATTTTTATGTATTTTTATTGATTTCATAGAGGAAGAGAGAAATAGAAGCAGCAATGATGAGAGAGAATAATTGATCAGCTGCCTTCTGCATACACCTTACTGAAGATCTAGCCCACAATCCAGGCATGTGCCCTGACTGGGAATCGAACCATGACTTTCTGGTTCATAGGTTCAACTACTGAACTATACTGGTCAGGAAAATGTCAGCTTTTAGCACTCCTTGAACACAGTAGCTCAGAGGTAGCCTGACTCTAGCTACTAATACAGTGGAGAGGGATACAAGCCAGCAATAACAAACCCTAGGGAGAGAGAAGAATCTGATTTCCAGAGTTGCCACACTATATTATATAAAACACCCAGTTTTCAACAAATAATAATGAGACATGCTAAGAAATAAGAAAGTATGGAACAGGGGAAATAAATAGTCAATAAAAACTGTCTTTGAGGAAGCCCTGACATATGAGTTACTAGAAAAAGACTTTAAATCACCTTTAATACAATTAAGGAATAACAACAACAAAACATGTCTAAAGAGCTAAAGGAAAGTATGAGAAGTATGACCATAATATCTCACCAAATAGAGACTATCAATAAAGAGAGAATTATTTGAAAAATAAACAAGTAAAAATTCTGAAGTTGAAAAGTATAATAGAAGTGAAAATTTGCTAGAGAAGCTCAATATCAGATCAGAGCAGTCAAAAGAACCAGAAATTTTAAAGATAAGTCAATTGCTGGCATGTCTGTTTAATGCTTTTCTGAACTAATTCTGGATAGTCTAAATTTTTTATCATTTCTAACCACTGATGTCTCTCCTCAATTAGCCTACTGGTCAGCCAATGACTCGATAGGCATATTCCAAGCGGTCTATGTGCATTTTGGGGTATATCTCCAACATTAATCCAGACAGTTTTCAACTCTATCTCAATCTGCACTTTCTGCTTCTACAGAGACTCAAACTCTGCAGGTGAGAGCTTAGGGACCTCTCAGTTCTCCTTTGAACTTGCACACTGTCCTACACATACATGCGGCCTTCTAGATTCACAGAAATACCCCCAAGCTTTTCAAAACCCCCTTTGGACATCTCATTCCCCAGTTTATCTGTTTAAGCTTTGACTGGCTCATCACTCTCCCCAATCTCCACCATCTCAGGCACAATTTTTTCCATTGCTCTCATTTCCTTAATAGAGGAGAGAACTTTAGGTATACAAGTAAAATATAATGCAAGCCACATGTGTAAATTTAACTTCTATTAACATGATTTAAAAGGTAGAAAGAAGCAAGTGAAATGAATTTCAATAATATATTTTACTTAATCCTAATATATATGTTATTTCGATATATAATCAATATAAAGTATCACTGAGATATTTTGCACATTCTTTTTATACTAAGTCTTTAAAATTCACTTAGAGCACATCTCAGTTTAGTCATATTTCAGGTGCTCAATAGCCACATGTCCTGTTAGCTACTATATGGACAGCACAACTTGAGAGCAAGGAGTCCTGACCAAGAGGTCCACAGATAGAATTGTGGGGTAGGAACTTGGGAGGTGGGTTAAGTAAGTCACCTTTATTTTTATTAATTGCCAACAAACTTTCACATTTACTTCAATTAGGAATATAGGAAATGAACAACAGTCATATTAGCACATGTGAGATTTTTGTCACAGATTGGGTTCCCCTAGGAAGCTGACTGGGATATTTGCATATAAAAAGCTTACAGGGGCCCTAGCCAGTTTGGCTTAGTGAATAGAGCATCGGCCTGCAGACTGAAGGTTCAATTCCAGTCAAGGACATGTACCTTGGCTGCAGGTACATCCCCAGTAGGGGGTGTTGCAGGAGCTAACAGATAGATATTTCTCTCTCACTGATGTTTCTGACTCTCTGTCCCTCTCCCTTCCCCTCTGTAATAATAAAAAAATTCAATAAAATATATTTTTAAGAAGAAGAAGAAGAAGCTTACAGGGATATGCCACTGGGGTCAGTACTTACAGAGAAGTAAGTCAGCAGGATTAGAGAAGAAGCTGGGCTGTGATGCAATCACAGTAGAAGCCTCGCTGCTCCTGTGGTGAACGCTGGAGCTGGGATGGCCCTGCAGCAATCCTGAGTTAGAGTGGAAAGGCCCCAAGCATTCACTCCTCACTACCCTGAAATCATAGTAGGTCTTGGATCTGCCACGCCTATATGTGTATCACAGTCTTTTCTAATATTGTGATCACTGCATTTCAGTGTCATTCGTTTTCTTTGTAATGCTACTTACTTTATTCATTTCTAAACTTTTATGTTCTGAAAGGAAGTCCACAGTCTTGCCAAGTTGCTAAAAGGGATCCCTGGCACAAAGTGTTAAGAAACGCTTCTGTGAAGAATGTGTAGAGATCCTGTGAAGAGCTGGTCTGTGTGGGGCAGTCAGGGCACCGTGAGACGGTGCATATTTGTCTTATGATCATTTATATTGAAAAGGGAAAACCTGACAACCTTCTTTATCCCCAAATGCTCCTGCTGGCAAAAAGCTAAATTATCTGATATTTTGTCATGGCTTCTCCTGAAAGGATCTTCGTTCATCCAACGAAGAGAGCCACATCGTGAAAATTGAAAAACCAAATGAAAGGAGTAAAAGGAGAGAAAGCGGGGCAGCCCCCCGGGGCTCAGCAGGCCGGGGAGGCATCAGCCTCTTCCAAGCAGTGAGCTACCTGACAGGCGAGATGAAGGAGTGCAGGAACTGGCTGAAAGGTAAGTCAATGCCCAGGGAAGAAGCAGCCGGGCCAGGCCAGTGGGACAGCCCTGCCTCTGGCTTGAAGAGAGGAAGCTGCTCCCTTACTCAACCATGGTGAGGGCTCCCACCAATGGGGTGCATCAGCCCTGAGTTGACTTGGGGAGGTGTAACATACCCTAATAACTTGGAATTCCCAAGGTTTTGGAATTAAATGCATTTCACTCATTTTAGTTGTTTGAAAATTCTTCACTCCTTCAGGGAATAATGGAATAGCTATAGGACAAACACTTAGCATATAAGCCATTTCCCAAACAAGCTGATTGGTCATTCTTTCACTTTTGCGGCTGTGTATTTTGTGCCAAGTATTAGCATCACCCCACCAATATTCCAGAGTTTTTTCTTTTTAATGTTTCTTCTAATTATTTCTCTAAACTAAATGCTTCAACAAACATGCCTCACCTCCCTGCCCCCACTTGTATGAAATGTACTGGAAACCAACCCAGAGAATGAGATCAAATGTATGTTCCCTCTTCTGGACCTGGCTTCTTCCAGGTCCTGACTCAAAACTATTGTCACAACTGTACTAAAATCCTTTCTTTCCCAGCTTCATTTCTCCAGACTACTGTTTCTGCTGCTCAGATACCAGCCCTCAACTGAGTCATACAGCACTATATAAAAAGAGCTTCCTTCCCTCTCCACCCCTTCCCTTGGATCAATAAATTTCCCTTGGAATGCTCCTGGGGCTTCCTTGCCAACCAAGCCAATAGCTGGAACGGTGTTAAATTGGTCTCAGCATGGTGTCTCGGTGTGTAATACAAAACTAGCACCCATGCAGACTGATTGCCCGGCCACTGAGACATGGGCTGGGTGCCAGGCTGAATGAAGGGAAGTGTCTTGGCTCATGCATCCCTGTCTGCTTTGGTTGCCATGCCAACCAGTGGTCCAGCAGGGAAGGACAGGCTGGACCCTGCTAATGGCTCTGGTTTGCCCATCTCTTTCAGATAAGCCACTGGCCCTGCAGTTCACAGACTGGGTCCTAAGGGGGACTGGTCAGGTGATGTTCGTCAACAACCCTCTCAGCGGGTTCATCATCTTCATCGGGCTCCTGATTCAGAATCCCTGGTGGACAATTGCTGGGGGTCTGGGGACAGTGGTCTCGACCTTAACTGCCCTTGCCTTGAGCCAAGACAGGTGGGTCCCTTTCCATGTTGGTCTTGGGTCTTGAGGCAGACAGATGGAGAGGTGATTACTTGTGGTCAGCCTACTTTATCCTCTCAGCCAGGCCAAGGTCTCTTGAGTCTCAGCTTTGAACAGATCATTGGAGGTCTTTACAGAATTAAACCACTCCTATGCTCACAGCAAATGACAGAGTCAGGCTCCATTTGACTGTAAAGTCTTTTGGAAACACTTCCTCTGGGGCAGGTGCAGAACATCAAGGCAGTTCTTCCTTCGTGGATCCTGCAATCTAGTTGAGGGGGACAAGACTAACAGGCAAGAAATATCTTCTAATAATACAAGACACTACGTAATGCAGAGTTTGGAAAAGGCAAATTTAAGCCAAATGTGCATCAGAATAAAATCCAATCCCTCAACTTCGTTCCAAAGACTCTCTAATGAATCCACCCTACCTACCACTCAACATCACACTTGTTCTCAATTGAGCACTATTGCTTTTGGGTATCTAATCCTACCATTCCCTCAATCTCTCCTCCTCCAGGGAGCCCTGATTGCCCCAGTGTACTCTGACCCTTCCTTTCTCTCAGAACAACCACAGACTATATTAGACTAGAGGCACAGTGCATGAAATTCATGCACAGGGAGGGAGGGGCTGCACCCTCTCCAATCTGGTACCCCTGTGGGATCAGGCCTAAACTGGCAGTCGGACATTCCTCTCATAATCAGGACTGCTAGCTCCTAACCGCTTGCCTGCCTGACTGACTGCCTGCCTGATTGCCCCTAACCACTTCTGCCTGCCAGCCTGATTGCCCCCTAACTGCTCCCCTGCTGGCCTGGTTGCCCTCAACTGCCCTCTACTGCTGGCCTGATGGCCCCAATTGTCCTCCCCTGCTAGCCTGTTTGCCCCCCAACTGCTCTCCCCTACAGGCCTGATTGCCCACAACTGCCCTCCTCTGCCAGCCTGATTGCCCACAACTGTCCTCCCCTGTTGGCCATCTTGTGGCGGCCATCTTGTGATGATGTCACGCAAGGGTGTGACACCATATGGGCTCTTATTCTATAGGATGGTTTTCTAATTTCTTTCTGAGTCTTCTCTTCCTGACTATGTTCTAAGCATGTCCAAAATGAGAAGTCCAGTCCAAATGTTCCATATTCCACTCCAGTGCCTAGAAAAGATTTGAGCTTCATTACTGATAGGTCAGTACCATGTCCTACACCACAGGTACATAATTCCAGGCACCTTACATACAAATTCTTCCAAAGAGCCATGACTTCACCACTATCCACAATGAGCCACTGACAGAGCCACATATCCAGGTCAGAAAATGCACCCCTTCCCTCTACCACCATCCCTACTATCCCACCCCCATCACTACAGCCCACTGGTCCTGAGACTGTACTTTACAGATAGTAATCCGAAGTCAGCAACACTGATGCTGCCATATTGTAATGGAACATGATCCTAATGAAGATCCTTTGGCATTGGGGTTGAACCTAGTTTTACAGTTTTGATGGTCAGAGCAGGGGTGTAAAGTAATGGGTTTCCTCCTGCCAACCAAATCCAGAAGCCACCAGACTTTTGGTAGAAAAGAGTTCTGGAAGGGGAGGAGGCACTCTCCACCACACATACACACACATACACACATAACTTTCTGGTGTCACACCTCAGGTTTCTTTCAGATTTCCCTCTATATTTAGCAATTTGAGACTCCCCTGAGAAGGAGAATGTAGACATAGAAAAGACAGAAGTGCATAATTTAATTCTAGATCAGCAAAGGTAATCAAGGCATACATACAAACACACACACACACACACACACTCTGTGTGTGTGTGTGTATGTGTGTGTGTGTGTGTGTGTGTATGTGTGTGTTTCTGGAAGGTGCTGGCAGCTATGTGATTGCCCAACATCCATTGAATAAACTGACTCCTCTGTGAGCAGCAGGAGAGAGGGACAATGAAGTCAAACGCAGAGTAACTCTGCTTCCCCCCAGGTCCGCGATCGCCTCTGGACTCCACGGATACAATGGGATGCTGGTTGGACTGCTGATGGCTGTGTTTTCCAAGAAGTTTGACTATTACTGGTGGCTTCTGTTTCCTGTGACCTTCACCGCCATGGCCTGGTGAGACGCCTCATTGTTTCTGCTCCCAGACCCACCGAGCCCCAAAATGACTGCATCTCAGACTAGACAGGGACGTGCATCGTCACAAGGCCCCACATCTTCACAGTCAGGCTGGTCTGTCCTGAAAAACGTTGTGGAAGTCCACGAGTTCAGTCACACCCAAGAGGATCATGTTTGATCTGGAGTGACAGGAACCCTTTAAAGCAACAAAGCACCACACATTTGGTCTTGTGCTGATATTCCTCCTTGCATTACAGACCTCATGAAAAAGGCTGACATTCATTTCCTACATCCACAGTGCTAAGCAGTGTAGGACTATTGCTGTGCCCATGTACAGAAGGAAAGACCAAGACACACAGAGATTATATAGCTTGTCCCAAGGTCACACTTGGTAAAAAGCTATCACTGCTAGCCTTCTGAACCCAGAGTCTTCACTACTAAACCCCAGGCTCTATGATAATCATCTATCCTGCAGCCGAACCAAGATCCAAAAGCTGAAAACTCACTGTTGATAGATACATAGAGCCTTCCTGGACCAGTGCATCTGTATTTAGAGCATAGAGTCTTTGATGAGAAACATCAGTTGAGATCTTACTGTGAAATCACCTCATTTTGCAGAAGGAAGGTAAAGTAAGGTGGGAGGGTATTAAGAACTACCCACTGGGCACAGTGTGTGTGAGGCTTTTTACTCGTGGGGCCTTAGTTCACTTGCATCCATAGCAGGCCTGTAGGGTCCTCGGGCACCTGCTGAATGCAGAGACAGGAGGCCCAAAGCGAACCCGTAGCCTCCAGCCTTGGGCTTAACCTCCTCTCAGACATGCTGACTGGTTTTTAACATCTCTAAGAAGTAAATGTCTTTCTTTGGTTTCAAAGTCTAGAGTTACTAAAAGCAGTTAGTTTAATGTAGTTTAAGTACTATTCCATTACTTTTTAGTAGTGCTTGCAAATAAATTACTACATTGAGCATTCCAGGCAATTTACGTTTTTTCTTGGGGCTTCTTTCTTAATCTATCAAGACAAGCAACTAAAGCAGTCAATTCTGTTGGGGATTGCCTTAATGTCTCCCACAGCCTCCATGTAAGAAGTAGGAGGACTTATCCTTATTTGCATATATTTGGTTTATAACTACATAGATTAAGCCCCTTGGCACAGTTCCTCAGCCACATCACACTGGTTGGCAATTTGACTGAGCTGTGTGCAACTACTATAGTTGTTCACTTAGCTCAGAGTCCTTAAAAGCCAATCCACAGCATAGGTATTAGCAGTGTCATTTTCCAGGTTTATTCAGCTAATATTTGCTGGGTGTCTGCTTTATGCATGGACTATTCTAGGTGTTAAGGACCATTGTGAACAAGAGAAGGTCTCCATTCTCTTAGACCTTACATTTTTCTTGGTAAAGATAGAAATAAACACATGAACAAGTGAATTAAAAAGGTCATTTCAATGTATGATAAATATTTTAGGAAAACAAGATGGGACAAATGCAACAGAGAATGAGTCCAGGTGTGGATGTCAGGATGCCACTGTGCAGAGAGGTATTTGACCTTAATGACAAGAAGGTGCCTGACATCTGCAGATTTGGGTGAACGATGCTGCAGGCAGAAGCAGCACATGGACAAAGACCCCAACTAGAGTCATGTGATGTATTCAAGAAACAAAACCAGTCAGGCTGAAACCCAGAATGGAGGGGAGCAGAAGGTGAGGCAAAAGTAGATGAGGGCCAGACCCCATATGCCTTGTAGATCAATAGGCCTTTAGATTTTCATTACAACTGTGATGGGAAGCAGTCAAAGGGTTTAAGCAGAGGAGTGGTGCAATATGGTTTAAATTTAAACAAATAACTCTTCTTTCAGTGTGGAGGATGGATTTCAACTGGACAGAGTGAATACTGAAGGCATAGTGAGTTGTTTTCTACAATAACCCACAAAAGATGAGGACAGTCTAGAACAGGATGGTATATGGGAGATGGTGAGAAGTGGTGGGGCTTGGGTATATTTTAAGGAAAGTAGAAGCAATAATAGGACTTCCTGAGAGGCTGTGGGGTATGGGGTTTGTGGGGGCTGACTCAGATACTCCTATAACTTTCCTGAGCACCTGGTTTGAAGGAGAAGACTAAGAACAGGTTGGTAGTTGGAGACAGGATGAAAATTGAGGGTTCTGTTTAGACATGAAACTTTAAACTTCCAAGTTAGAGATATTGAGTAGGTCACTGGATATGCAAATCTGGAACTTAGTGATATAGTCAAGATTTGGAACTCAGAGGCAGATAGAAGATATTTTTGTCCATGGAACTAAAGGTATTACCCAGAAAGAGAAGATGAAAGAGAGAGAGAGAGAGAGAGAGAGAGAGAGAGAGAGAGAGAGAGAGAGAGAGAGAGAGAGTCATATGATCTAATAATTAGAAATTGGCAAAAGAGAAGAACAACTGACAGAGAGTTGTGAAGTAACTGCTGGAGAAGCAGGAAGAAAACTGAGGATATACAGTGTCATGGCAATCCAGACATCTTATAGATAGTTTGGTTCCCTAGGTACAGGGGAAAGCATTTGCCTGATAAAGGAACAGGAACATGTCCATTATACAAAAAAGGCAGCGAGAGAGGAGAATGTGGACACAGGGCAGTTGAATGTGGATTTTTCGGTGGGGAAATGAAGCATTTCTCATCTTGTCATTTCTATTTTCTTAATGAAGTAAAGCAAGGTGGTTAGCTGAAACTAAAGGAAATCAGACATGATAAGATAAGATGTGAAACACTTCTCTCAGCAAGCTGGAGAATTAATTGGCTAGGGATATGAACAGGGTTTTCAGGCAGTTTTAAAAGCCCATTTGGGCTTCACAGTTATCAATTAAAAGTACACCATTCTGCTGGTTCCTATGATTTCATGTTTTGTCCTGAACTCACAGAGAGTGGAAGATGGAGGGTTTTAGGAGTCCAGAGTATCCGGTCCCTACAGAGGAAACTAAAGCTAAAGAAGATGAATTACCTAATGTTGCTCACTCAGCCTTTAGGTAGCATTTGCACTCAGCTCTTTCTTTCTCCAAAATTTGTGTTCTTTCCAAGGAAAATGCCAAGAAGAGAGGAAACACAAACTCAAGGTGTCATTTTCACATGGTGGTCCCCAGAGTAGCTCCAAGTATTTGAACTGAATCCAATACTGTGTGTTATCTATGTGCATGGCAGCCTCCTCCCAGAGGCCAGACTCCTAAAACATTATCACAGCTCAGCAGAGTAGCAATTGCACATCTTGATGAGCCAAAGACAATACATAACATTTTGTAAGAATTACATTTTGTTTCACTTTCTTGGTTTAACTAACAAAGAAATATTTAAAGTATTCTATAAAGTTTTCTATTCAAGACAGGTTTATATTACTTTTAAATTGTGTGTCTTAAAGGTGCAGCCTAAAATTGAGTACCTGTTCCCAATCACAAGTCACTGGGCTGCTTGAGTCTCAAGAGAGCAGGAAGGACCGTACCAGGGGACAGTAAACAGCACAGCGGCCAGAGCTGAGGAGATGGTGTAGCCCTAAGAATGACTACAGTGATTAACCCTTTGCTTCTTCCATCTTCAGTCCAGTTCTTTCTAGTGCCTTGAACTCCATCTTCAGCAAGTGGGACCTCCCAGTTTTTACACTGCCCTTCAATATCGCGGTGACCCTATACCTGGCAGCCACAGGCCACTACAACCTCTTCTTCCCCACGACACTAGTGGAGCCTGTGTCTTCAGTGCCCAACATCACCTGGACGGAGATCGAAGTGCCCTTGGTAAGCTATCCTGTGGCAGATGAATTTGGACCCCCTGATTCCACTGTAGACCTTCTCTCTAACTGGTTCGGGCATGCCCCTCCCTCACATAACGGGTCTGGTGGAGAAAAGGATGGGAAAAGGTCACTGCCACCTTCATAGGGTCTTTCAACAAACCTTTGTTGAAGCCCTAGCTGGTTTGGCTCAGTAGATAGAGAGCCCACAGACTGAAAGTTCCCAGGTTCAATTACCGTCAAGGGCATGTACCTCAGTTACAGGCTTGATCCCCAGCCCTGGTCAGGGCACTTACAAGAAGCAACCAATATCTCTCTCTCTCTCTCTCTCTCTCTCTCTCTCTCTCTCTCTCTCTCTCTCTCTCTGTGTGTGTGTGTGTGTGTGTGTGTGTGTGTGTGTGTGTGTGTGTTTTCTCCTCCTCCTTCTCCTTCTCGCTTCATCCTCTCTAAAAATTAGTGGAAAATCCTCAGGTGAGGATTAACAGAAACATACACACACACACACAGAGAGAGAGAGAGAGAGAGAGAGAGAGAGAGAGAGAGAGAGAGAGAGAGAGAGAGAGAGAGAGAGAGAAACTTTATTGAAGACCTTATCTGTGCCCTATCCATGAAGCATGAGCTGCAGTGACATGTGGCATTACCAGAGAGAAAGGCCCCACCCACCCTGTATTGTGTGACTGTACAATCCAGCATTGAGGGGTCCAGATGGGAAAGGGCCACAGAGAGGAGATGGCTCTTGTTCACCTTCAAAATAAACAGTTAGGAAATGGTAGAACCCAAACCCATGTACCCTGAAACCCAAGCACACTCTCTGAGCTTCCTACCCAACCATCACTCTGACAACAGGCTGCTCTTCTACACCATCCATGGCTGATTTGAAAACTCAGTGCCATTTCCCTCTTTCTCGTTAAAACAATGAGAGGAGTGACTTCCTTTTAGTTGAACAGGCATGTTGTGGTTACATGAGGATTATCTAGAGTATGAGGAGCCTGGCGCTCAGTAAATTTCCACCACACACCTAACTTTCCCTCACACCAGGGTTTCAGCTGTGGCCTGAAAAGCAGCGAGGAGGGGAGGGAAGGCCTCCTGGGGCCATAGTTCACCAGGTTCCTATAGAGGCTCCTTTCCAAGTCAACTTGTTTCCTCATTCCTCTCATTCTTGGCCGCTTGGGCTTAAAATCTGTGTTCCCAGATAGAAGGTGGGAGCCCAATTCCCCTCAGCATTCCTCAGACTTCAGGAAGTAGTGGAATATTTATTGAGTAGCTTTCCAGCCTGTTCCCCCTTTTAAGCTGAGTTCCCTGGACTGGCACAAAGTGTTTCAGGTTCCTTTAAATAACACAGAGCCCTTATCCTGTCATTCCTTGCACAAGTCTGTAGGGTCTAGTCCAGATAGTGCTTGGTTATTAAAAGGCCACCACCTCAGAGACAAGGGTGGACAACTCCTAAAAGCTCTCAAAGACTCCTCAAGAAAAAAAAAATATATACTAACTTCAGAATACAATCAAGTTGTGAAAAAAAAAAAAAAGTACAAAATTTCACCAATGAAAGAAAGACAATGAACTCCCACATCTACAATAGATTGTCAATAACTAACCCATTGGTCCCCAAACTCCTTTGCACATCCAAAAACCCCTGAGGCCCGGTCATGCTACATACCAGTTAAATCAGAAAGTCTGGGAGGAGCTAGACATCAACATTGTTTGTAAAGATATTTAGGTGGTTCCTGTTTATATGAAGCTTAAAAACCACTAAGCTATTCAATACATTGTTATTAATTACCTATTAAGTACCCTGCCACAAGGGAGCACTGTCCTCAAAAAGGTCACATGACCTGGTAGTGGAAAAAAAGATATTGCAGGATTTTAAAGCTGGGATATCATCTACTGGGCCAGCCTCTTCATTAGAGAGGAGGGCACCAGATCCTAAATGAGGAGGTGACATGCCCATGGTCACACAACCTTGTACAGAGCCCCTCTGAAAGCTGAAGCCATGAAGCCCCAGGCCAGGGCTCTTCCTACCCTGCCAATCCCTTCCCTTCCTTGTTGCCCTCAAAACACAGCCAGAACATGGGTGATTCAGCTTGAGCAGAAAAAGACCATCTGACATCACTGCCAGTTAATCATCTTCAATTCCAACATCACCAAATGATGCTCAGCTCAGGGACGGTTGGGCTTTGTGCTGTTGTCCAAAAGTTCTCCACATTACTTTCTTCAATGCTGAGTGCTCCTCCTTCCCTGGGGCCTCCTAGTCCTCAGGCTGACACTGAATGTGCAGCAGCCACCAAAGAGACTAGGGGTCAAGTTCAGAGGTTGTACCTTGGCCTTGGCCACCAATATGCTAAGTGACCTTTGGACCAATCATCCATCAAAATGGCTTTGAATGGTCATAATATTCCTGGAGTATTTCTAGGATTTCCCATAGTTCACTGAAATCCCCAATGGTAGTCTAGAGAAGAGGTTTCCTAAAAGTAGAAGCCATGTGTACCTCAAAAACACCCTGCCCAGCTCCTGCTTGGCTTTGCATGAGCAATGCTCAGATGCCTGCAAGGTGGTGAAGTGAGGAGCTATTTGTTCCAGGTCACACCCTCTCATCTTTTCTCACACACTGGAGGGCACAGCCATACTCCCGTTCAGCCCCATTACCCACCCACCCCACAGGAATGGCTCAGTCCTGACCCCAAGTCTGGACTTTGCATAACCAACCCACACTCCAATGACCTGGATTCTATTTACTTTGCAGCTGCTACAAGCCATCCCCATCGGGGTCGGCCAGGTGTATGGCTGCGACAATCCCTGGACAGGTGGCGTATTCCTAGTGGCTCTATTCATCTGCTCACCACTCATCTGCTTGCATGCAGCCATCGGCTCCATCGTGGGGATGCTAGCAGGTAGGACAGCACCCCTCTCTGCAGAGATCGTTTTCCCAAGGTCATTCTCACACACACATAACAAATATTCTAGATTTGCTATCCTCACTGAAGTTTGTAAACACTATCAAGTTACCTCTCCATTTTTTGACGCTCCTAAGGGAGCAGATTGCAGTAGCAGGACACATGGAGAGATACAAGGGGAACGAAGACCAGTAGCCTTGCAGACTGAGCCCGTAGGAGCTAAGGGGTAGAAGCAGAAGCTGATAGGCAGTGGCATAAGTGATCCAACACTTTGAAATTTTGAATAAGCTAAAAGAAAAAATATTCTCAAAAATTGTATTGCCACTTGAAAATATAATTTAATATATGTATGTGTGTGTGGACAAGAGACAGAAATTAGAGTTCGGGGCATTGAGAATAGGAACCTATTGACTCATTCCAATATTTTGCAAAGAAAATGTCTTAGAAGCAGAAATTTTTATAAAGCTATCTGAAAAAAAAAATTTCAAAGTTATCTAAAATGAAAGTAACACCCATAATCATTTACCCAGATTCACTGATTGTACACCCATTCTGCTGTATCATTTCTCCATCTCCATATGTCTGTTGCAGATTCATGTTTTTTCTCAACCATTTGAAGCAGAATGTTTTCAACTGAAATCTTTCTTACTAAAACTGTAGCTTCTCTGACCAAAGAGAAGGCTAGAGTCCTATGGCCTTGCCCTCCTCCCTTCTGCTTCCCCCTGGAAGTAGCCATACATATGTGTAAAATCTTTGAAAAACAGCTTGGAAACTACTGCTCTCTTCCTATTACTAGTTTCCAGAGACCAGACACCATCTGTAGAGGCTCCTTTGATGGGTAGCTATAGCAGGTGTCAGGGGGAACTGCTGGAATGAAGCCACCCTGGGTCCCAGCACCAGCCACAAGATGCCTTTGTGCTGTGACTTAGAACCAGCCAGAAACACCATTCCTTGTCCCACAGCCCTGACAGTGGCCACACCCTTTGAGATGATCTACATGGGCCTCTGGAGTTACAACTGTGTTCTCGCCTGCATCGCCATCGGGGGCATGTTCTACGCCCTCACTTGGCAGACCCACCTGCTGGCCCTTGTCTGCGGTGAGTATTTGGGAAAGCTAACAACCAAGTCACTGTATTCCCCCCTCCCCCAAACCCACCTTTGGTGATGAAACCCATGGTGACCACTAATCAGAAGTGAGCAGCAGTGATAGAAGGACCAGTGGCTTGGGTCTTTCACAGCTGGGCGACTTAAGGTGTCTCTTCCATCACATAGTGCATTCCTACTCTCAATGACTCTTCATTCAACAATGATTTTTAGGACACCACTAAGTTCCAGGCCTCAGGCAAGGCATAGAAGACACAGTAGTATCATGAAGACATGGTCTAGCAAAAGAGGAGCCATTGCACAGTTATTAAGGTTGTGATGTCTAAAAGATTGTTGGGAAGGTCTAATGAGATGGTGTACTTGGGAGCATCAAGACCTAAGAAAATTATAATATAGCTCTATGGAAGCTTGAATGTGTAAGAGTAAAGACAGAATGCTATGTCCAAGGAGATATTGAGCACAATCATTATATCTGCACCCAGCACCACACTCTGTGCCATATAAACATATGAACCCTCCTAATCCTCCCAAGATCACTTCCAGGCATAGATTGTGAACCCATTTTACAGATGAAGAAATGAGACTCAGAGGGATTAATGAACCTAGAACTCAGCTATTAATGGCAAAAACAGGATTCAAAACCCAGTCCCATCTTTTCATCATCCTTTCTGCCCTGGTTTGCTTACATTCTCTGGAAACAGCAGGCTTTTAATAAGCAAAACTAGAGATAGAGCAGAATAGCATCCGGGAGAGTTTTTCTTTTGTTTTCTCCCACTTTTGTGTGGAAATGCTAAATGACTTCCATGTCCCTTGTATTTCTCTCAGCATGGCACAAGGATGGGCATAGAGACAGTGACCTCATAAATATTTGTTAAGTCAAAAGCACTGGGTATTTTGAAGGTCAGATTGGAAATGCCTTTGGCCTTCAAAAAAGTAGCAGGTTCCTGTGGCTAGAACCTTCTGGGGAGGCTTCAGAGAGAGGGTGGGATCTGGACAGGCAGAGAGGGGAGAAGGTGTTCTAGACAGAGAAATAGAGAGATCAAAGGGGTAGGGAAAGAAGGAGCTTATCCAGAAGCACCAGGAGTATGGAAGATCTCCCTTAACTATCCTAGGAGGCCACATCCTATGGTTGAACCCAGATGCCTGGCTCCTAGGGATGAGCTCAGAGACCCAATAAGGTCCAACTCTGATGGGACTTGATGAGGGTCCAATGACATCATGGTTTCTCAGAATCTTGGACAGGAGGGGCCTTATCTGGAGCTCATATAGTCTGACCACTCACCCCACAGACAAGTAATCATTCAGGCCTATGCTGGACCATCTCAAAGTCAGTGTGAACAATCAAAAGATGCTTAGTGGCCCCCGACTCTATGCAAAGCAACTATGGAAATGGGAGGGGATAAAAGGATATGTAAACCTTACCCTCTGCCCTCAGATAATGCACAGTCTGGTGGGAGATGGGCCATATGTCAATATGTGGTGTAGACACTGAGGCTGCTGGAGACAGGCTGAGATCCCTGCTCTTGAAGAGGGTTAGGGGTGGGCCCTGGGAGCTGACTAGATGATCCTTATTCCTCTGCAGCCCTGTTCTGTGCATACATGGGAGCAGCTCTCTCCAACATAATGGCAGTGGTAAGTTCATACTCTCCAGAACACTGTGCTCTTCCTTAGTTAGTGCTTCAGGATGTTTGGACTCTTAAGGAAGAATCCTGAGTGAATTATAGTAGCCAATACTCTGCACAATGCCTTTGTCAAGGTTTATCTAGGGTTTGTCCTGAGAAGTGCTGGCAACTGGGTACAGTTGCCTCTGAAGTGTGCATGGTGTGAGTGTGTGTGTGTGTGTGTGTGTGTGTGTGTGTGTGTGTGTGTGTGATACAACCAACAGTGGAGAACAAGGATGCACAGAAAGTACTTGTGTTTGGCTAGATGTTGGAGGCCATCATTTCAAGGCCAATTTTCAGCTCCATCATTAAAAGACTCTGTTTGTGTCCAAAGGTGACAACACCTCAAATTCATAGACCAACTCCTCTGTCCTTATGACTCCAGAAACCAATGCTGTCACTAGGGGAGTTGTCCTAATCTCAACCCCTACCACACCCTTCTCCCCCAGGATCTAGGAACATTTTCAGACACCAGTGCTTTTGCTTCCAGGTTGGTGTACCACCAGGCACCTGGGCCTTCTGTCTCTCCGCCCTCATCTTCATGCTCCTGACAACCAACAACCCTGCCATCTACAAGCTGCCCCTCAGCAAGGTCACCTACCCAGAGGCCAACCGCATCTATTATCTGACCTTGAAAAACACTGAAGAAGAGAAGTCCCCCAGCGGTGACTAGCCAAGTTCCAGGCAGAAATGCTTTTTGCCTGAACCTTGTTCTGCTCCCTATGGTCTCTATTCTGGGTCAATCAAGACAGCACCTGCTTTCTTTGCCTCTCTTGCACCTGTGCAGAACCAAACACACCAACAACTCTCTTTCCTGATGCTGGTTTTCTCTCTCTGACCAAATTGCCACAACTATCCATCATGTGACATTAGAGGAAGTTAGTAACAAGCTTACTAGAGTTAGAAGCAAGGCACATGTTTTCAGTCATCGACTTAAAACAAGAACATTGTTTGTATTTAGCATTTGGGGAAGGTGATTAAGAGATAATCTTGTTGACATGTTTAACTAAATAATAGATGCTGTGAAATTTTTCTTAATGAGTGGTTCCTAGGCAGACACAGAGTGAATGAAAATTCAGGAGACACATGCAAAGAATTGAAGGCACCATAGTACACAGAGCTAGTGGCTGATGGGCACATTCAGCTTTACATAAAACATTACACTGATAACATTTTAAAATCAAAATAGGGACAATGAGGGCACTGGAAGTGTCTAAATATGGAGTCTCAAACGTTTAGTGGTCAGAGTAAAGGGCAAGGTAATATTCCATAGGAAGGAATTAATTAATTAGAATCTTACATGTGACTTTTTTATGAAGCATAAGCATTTCTCTGTGTAACTCAAATCAGCAACTTTGGGCAGAAATTTCAGTTGAGGAAAATACCTGAGCTCATTTGTGAATAGCTGGGAAAGTTTATTCCACTTTTTTATTTGCTTATGGGTATTTGAGGCTCTTTAAGATCTGATATTTCAATAGTTAGCCTTGACTTTAGATAAACTGTTATTTATGAATTTTATAATTTGGCTTCCCAATTAATACAGTAACTAGCTTGAGTTTAGTCTTTAGTTGTATATAGATCAGGAGTTGACAAACGTTTTTCTGGAAAGGGTCAAATAGTAAATATTTTTGGCTCTGAAGGCCATAGTCTCTTTTGCAAATACTCAACTCTATCATTATAGTGAAAAGTAGCCTGGGATGGTATATAAATGAATGGGTCTGGTTGAGTTCAAATAAGACTTTATCAAACAGATAGCAAGCTAGATGTGGCCTCCAAACAGTAGTATGTCAGTGCCTGCTACACATAGCCAACATAACAATGGTCAGGCATGGTTGGGCAATCAGCAGACCGAAAGGAAACCACCAGGTTCTATACCACAGGCATGTACCTGCCAGGTGATGGTGTGAAAATTCTTAGGAAGTAGAGAGATTAAAAGTGGTTGGAGATGAACAACAGAAAGTGAGATTAGTATGACCAGACTCAGGAAGATGCAACCTGAGGCTCTCAGAGAATGACAGACACAGTGATGTGTACCAACGGGTACAGGTTTAACCGTACATCCTTCCACACAGATGTCTGGGAACCACTCCTAAGGCTCACTGTCCTCTACTTCCTCACCCTGTTCTCCCCTCTGCCAGTGTGCTCACCACTGTACAAGGAAGAAAAAAAGCATGACCCTTCAGAAGCCCAGGAGCTTCCAGCAGCAAGAGCAGGGAGGCTCATAGAAGCTCAGGGTTGGAAGGGAGTGTGAAGGCTATATAATCCCTCATCTTGTGATGCAGAGGCTTCTATAGGAAGCTTGGGGGTTCAATTCCCAGCCAGTCGTCTAGCCAGGGCACAGTTACCCAAAATGGAAGGGAGACCCCAAGGTATTCTAACAAGAGATAACAGAATCAGAGGTACCCCGCTAATTGCCCTAGGAAATTGCCTCTTTTCTCCATTAAGCCCTTGAGAAGCTCCACCCAAGAACTGAACCATCTTTTATTGGATTTCCAGGAGAGGAAAACTAGTTGGATATGAAAATTCTTTCAGCTCACTAGAGTAACTTTATCTCCTTCCCTCTCTTCTCTTCCCTCCCCACTTCATAGTTTGTCTTTTATGAGGTACCACTTTGATCGCAGGGATCTAGGTCTTGTGAGGTTTTTTTCCTCCCAAGTTTCCACTTTAACAACCCCCAACCCTCTCCCACCCAGGAATGAAGAGTTTAACTATTTTACAAGATGCCAAACTCATTTGAAGACAAATGGATAAAAGCTAAGTTAGTCAGAAAAAGGGAAAAAATATGCCCAGCAAGTCTGGAAAAACCACAGGGCCCCAGAAAGTCTATAATACACTGTGACCAAAATGGCAAGATATTTATGTAGAAATAAAAAATAAAAATAAAAATAAACATTATCTACTAGTTTAAGCAGAAGTAAAAATCCCCAGGCCTCTGAGAAGTCTGCCCTGTGCAGGTAACACTGTGTACAGGCCACAGACAGATGCCCAGATGTCCTGTGAAGTAGCCCAAAGAGTCTCATGGGTCAGGAGAGCTCCCTAGAGTGACCTTGCCCCACCTTCACCAACACTTCCCCATGTCACAAACACCCTGAATGAGTAGAGGCAAGAACCTTGAACTTATAGATTCTCACCATCAGCATGAGGTTGCAAGAGGGCAGGCCACTGCTATTGTCTACTATCACCCCAAATAGCAGCAGGAGCTTTTGGAAAACTGAACATAAGTATTTGTGGCTGAACATTAATAAGCAATCATTAGAGAGAGAAGGAATATAAGTGTAGGACTAGGGAGAAGGGGACTTTAAAGGAAACACTGTCTTAAAATCTCCTTTTCTATCATGCACACCCTTTCCCCTGTCCTCTCCCCAAATCTTATCATCTCCTCTCCCTCTGGCCTCACCATCTCCTCCTCCCATTTTCATCTTCTCTGCTACATGGTGGAATTTTATTGTCATCGTGGAACAGCATTGTCCTGCTGTATTTTTTAATCATTTGATCTTGAATCATCTTTCTAATCACTTTTATGAAAATTGACATAGTCAAGTTTTCTACTTCTTAGTTAAACTTGAGAGTTTGTTTGCTGGAAAATAATTTATTTTCTTTAGTTTTAAATTTTTGACACCATAGAGTTACTCATAAAGTTTTTACAATAATTCAATCTCTTGTGTATCTGTGGCTTTATCTCCTTTGTAATTTCTAATTTTATGTGATTTTGCTCTCTCTTTTCCTTAATCAGGTTTGTGAGAGATTCACCCATTTTATTGGCTTTGACAAGGAAGCAGTTTGGAATTAATTTGTTATTTTTACTTGTTGTGGTTTGTTCTTTATTTTATTGATTTTTCCCCCCCCCTATTTTCTGGTGTTTTGTTTAAATGTTCTTTTTTTTCAAGTGTTTTAAAATTGATGTAAAGTTTCTTCATTTTAGATATTTTTCCTTTAATGACAAAGGTATTTAAGGCTATTGATTTTCCCCTGAGTGTACCTTTAGCTATGTACTATAGGTTTTGAAATAAAATATTCTACTTTAATCAGTTTTTAAATAGTTTGTAATTTTAGTTTTGATTTCTCTTTGATCCAAGGATTATCTAAGAATATGTTTCTTAATTTCCAGTATTTAGGATCTTTTTGATACTTTTAAACTTTCTATACCTAGTTTTATTGGATTAAAGACAGAGAACAAATATGGCCTGTAAAATCTCTATTTTAAAACTTTATGAATTTTTCTTTGTAGCCAATTATTTGATTAATTTTGGACATATAAAATGCAAATTTTTATTTGAAAGAAAGGCATATTAAATTGATTTATTAATGGCATCATTCAATTATTCCATGTGCTTATTTATTTTTGTCCATGGGATCTTAATTTTGAAATGGGTTTATTAAAATTCAACTATAATTATATAGCTTACTATACTCTTTTGTATTTGTAAAACCTTTGCCTCATATTTGTAGCAACTATATTGTTTGATGCCCATAGTATATCATTTATTCTTCATAGATTTTTATCTTTTACCATTACAACTGCTCATTTTTATGCTCATTAGTGCTTTTAACCTCTTATCAGCTTATTAATGTTACTACACCTACTTTCTGAAATTTTCTTAGACCTTTGTTTTAAGCATTATCATTTTTTAACTATATATCTTAAAAAATAATATAGAGCAATGTTTTGTATTTAAGCTAATCTAAGTGTTCTGTAATGTAGTAGGACAATTCAACCCCTTCATATTTATTGTGACAATCAATATGTTTCTTTTATTTATTCCACTTTGTTTTTACTATTTACTTTTTGTTACTGCTTCTGTTTCCCTAACAGTTTTTCTTCTTTTGCACATTCTATTATGTTACTATCTTTTTTTTCTTTTCTTTCCTTTGTTTATTTGGAAGCTCTTCTATATTTCTTCCATTCCACTAGTGGTCACTGCTTCTTTCCCAGTGCTCATAAGCAAAACTATATTTATCTGTTGTTATATAAAAGCAAGACACCAAATAAAACTATTTATTTCTTATAAAATAAATAGTTTTATAAAAACACAAGCTACCCCATTTTGCCAATGCTCCTTGCTCACCTGTGGGATGAAAACCTTTGCACTACTTTCATTCCTCCCCAAGGTCCCCATCCCTAACACACTTCTTCTCCAATATTTTCCACCTCTAGATTTTGCTGAGATCATTTTTTATTTTCTCCTTGCAATATTTATCTTTTTTTAAAAAAAGGAATTGTTTCATTGTCCCTTTGGAGTTTACTATTTATATTGGGCATGTTACCTTTTATCTCTGTTTTCTCTACTCATCACCTTCCTCTGTTTTATAATCTTGGTTCTTATTCACTAATTACCTGTTTAGGAGCCCTTCTTTTTTATTTTCCTCAAATAATATATGACAGAATACAGGTGTCACGTTCTCTGACTGTTTGCATGTCCATAGTTTCTTTCTCCTGCTAAGTGGATGGCATTTCAGTTGGGAGTGGGTGTCTGGGCTATAGCCTTTCCCCTCAGTTGTCTGGAGGTATTGTGTCTTCGTTTTCTGGCTGCCAAGTGTTACAAATATGAAATCTAATGTCAATATCATCCTTTCATTTTATAAACAACCTGTTCTTTCTTTCTAGAAGGTTGTAAGATTTTCTCCTTATCTTTGGAGTTCAGGGATTTTATGACGTCAAGCCTAA